GGAAAAAGGGACCAAACACAAGCATTTTTGTAGTTTCCGGAAATAGCTTGTGTGTAAGTGTATAGATTTCTCTGAAATTATACCACAAGGTTCAATATCACAAAGGGAAAGCTGGGATTGAGTTTGGGAGTAATTCCCCCAAACGTTCAGGAATTAGTGGCAAAAAGGGGCCAAATTCAAGCATTTTTCTAGTTCCAGACAATAACTTGTGTTTGAGTGTATGGATCTCTCTAAAATTGTACTATAAGGTTCCATACTCACAAAGGGAAGGCTGGGATTGAGTTTGGGGGTAGTTACTCCAAAAGGGGGGGGGGGGGTGATTTTTTTCCCCAATTTATTTTGGGTACTGGTAGTTCATTTTTTTCTTCAAAATTTATGAAATTTCAAATTTTTGAAATCTTAAACTTCACAGTATTGCGCAAAAGCAAGAAATCTTCATTTGCACAGTATTGCGCAATAGAAACAAATTTTCAATTGCACAGTATTGTGCAATAGCAAGAAATCTTCAATTCCACAGTATTGCGCAATAACAAGAAATCTTCAATTCCACAGTATTGCGCATTAGCAAGAAATTTTCTATTGCACAGTATTGCGCAATAGCAAGAAATCTTCAATTCCACAGTATTGCGCAATAGCTCAATATTGCACAATATCACAGTATTGCCCAATTGCAAGAAATCTTCAGTTGCACAGTATTGCACAATAGAACAGTAATGCGCAATAGCAAGAAATCTTCAACTGCACAGTATTGGCCAATAGCAAGAAATCTTCAATTAAACAGTATTGCTCAACAACATGGTATTGTTTCGTTCCCGTTCTCTAACTAACGTTTGCCTCAACCAAATTTTATGAAACTTATACACAATACTACCAAAGAAGAGTCACCGAGCGACACAAGCTCTTGAGAGCCTATAGTTTATTTACACCCCCATACCATTTTGGAGGAACGATAAGTATTTTTCAATTTTCAACCCAGATGCAACCATATATCCATGCAAGACAAGCTATGTTTGTTTAAGTGTACAAAAGAGAACCTAATGTATGGAGACTGCCTTCAAAAGTTATGGTAATCAATGGTGAAATCACAAAAATTAATAATTGAAATAAATAAGTGAAGTCCTATGGAAGTTGCATATAGGAGATATATGAATTATGACAAATTACAATTGTAGAAATGGTTTTGTCCATGCTTTACCATGCAAACTATGAAAACTTTATATGTTTTCAAAATTTGTGGGAGGCTCTATTTTGAATTAGATATCCAAATTATATGAAAATAGAAGGGAACTTGATATCGCGGCTGCTTATCCCTACCAAAAATGACTTAAGTGTCCCCCCCCCCCCCCCCTAACACATACACAAAAACAGAATTGGAAGGTAGTTAACTGGTAGTTAGAACCATCACAGCCTAACTAATTAACTGGATACGCAAATGCTAACACAAATCTATGCCTGTTTCATGTACGAAATGTCTTATTTACACCATATCGCATGATGTTACTCCTCAGAAAGGAGAGATATAGAGTACATATACATAGCTAAGTCCTTGTTTTACAATAATTGACCACAAAGTCAGTTTGGTAAACAAAAAATTCTATATGTTATTTGGATATCTACAAATGATACTTAAAATAAATGGAAATTGAAAGCGACATGTTGATGACATTTGAAATAGAGTAATGGCTTAGTCCGTGTTTTACCATGGGAAACCCCTAAAATAAACTTTTGTTTCTGCAAATAGTACCTAATAACCCATCCAAATTTTATTAAATTCCCTTGGAAATTTTAAGATATGTTGATATCAAACTTCTCCATTCATAAAAATAGCTTTTTTTCTAAACTGTTACTTTTAGTCTGTTTCCATGGTAAGTCAGTCATAAAAAATAAATATTTTTTCTTATATTGCCAGTGACCCCCAAATTTTATTCCAATTTTATAAAATAGAGACATCAAGCTTTTCAGTATGAAAAAATGAGCAACTTCTGTCATTTTTTTTGCTGTGAAATTCAATCAAAGAGGTTTTATGTTATTTAATGCTATTCAGGGTTATATCTGGTCTATATACCAGCTTTGATAACTATAAATTTTCACTTCTTCGTACTATGAACATCAAAATTATTTATTTTGTAAAAATATTTCCTTTCTCCATTTGAACTGTACACGTATACCTAACACTAACATTATTTTCATTAACCTGTGTTGAAAGTAATTGGAAATGGCTGATATTTTTGTTCAAGCATATAGTTTTTCTTAAATTGTTTAACATTTCACAGCGGTATAACATGTTACTTTAATTATTCTTCCCTTAGTTTATTTATTTTGTATTTACATTATATCATAGATCAAATTTATTTGTTCAGTGTATGTTCACTGGTGTTAATATATCTTTTGATTGAGTTAAGCCTTTTCAATTGATATTTTATAGTGTGTCTTTCTATGTTGAGATGTTACACTATTGTTTCAGATAAGGGTGAAGGTTTGGTACCATTAAAACGTTTAAATACGCTGCAATTGTTTGCACCTATCCTAAGTCAGGAATCTAATGTTCAGTAGTTGTCGTTTGTTGATGTGGTTAATAAGTGTTTCTCGTTTCTCGTTTTGTATATAGATTAGACTGTTGGTTTTCCCGTTTGAATGGTTTTACACTAGTAATTTTTGGGGCCCTTTATAGCTTGCTGTTCGTTGTGAGCCAAGGCTCCGTGTTGAAGACCGTACTTTGACCTTTAATGGTTTACTTTTATAAATTTTGCTTTGGATGGAGAGTTGTCTCATTGGCACTCATACCACATCTTCTTATATCTAATTATGTCCATTTTCCCTATATTCAACCTTTTTGCACTCATTTTCAGAGGTCAAAAAATCTCTTGGATGGCACTCACTCATTTTACAAGTGAACACAGATTATGTGTGGAAAATATCAAGATAGTGGTATGGTACATACCTTTGATATTGTTTTTATAGGATAAAGAAGACCAAAAGTCTTGAAAGATTATATTGCAGGAGCCAATAGATACAACAATAACAATTAACTAATTTAATAAAAGAGAAGAAAAAAAATATATTTGTTATGAAAAAACAATAATGAGATGAATATGGAGAAAATATAGAACCATATATTCAAGACTGTAATTAGATTAACTATAACTTCCTTTTTATCGAAAATATTATTTACAGGGAATTCCGGCTAAATTTCCCTGCTCTAAGACGCGATCAGAGAGCTGCTCTAGTTTACGTTATTTAGAACTGTTCTGCAGTATAAGAGAAATATTAGCACTGATCCAAACTATATAACTGATGTTGCGCGTTGCTACCCTCTGCCAGTAGCCTTATAGTTTCAATGAAATAGCAGGATTACCTATTTTTGGCTACAGCACTGCCCCATGCTGTGAAAGACTCCCTCTCTATGGAAATTGGTTTACGGAGAGGGAAAATCGAAAACATCTGATTTGTAAAGAGATATTTTTTTTAACAGCAAAAGACAATTATTTGCAATTTTAAAATTAATTTGATATAAACATATCCTTCATGAATCATGCATTATAGCTTATTGACGAATTGAACGTCATTGTAGAAAGAACACAATTTTTTGCTTTGTTAAAATTCTCGCGTCTTCCAAATTGAGATGCTGATAACGTTCGTAAATTCGCTTCCCCCAGTGGATATATCAGTCCATGACAATGCGGTAATCCCCTTATAAAGTATATGGATAAAAACACATGAAATAACAGACAAGGGCTATGTTCACACAAAATCTTAAAAAAAAATGTATCCTGAATTATTCCGAAATGAGAGTATTTTTTCTCGTAATTGTTTTTTTTTTGTAAATCGATTGCAGGCTAATAAACCGGTAACTTGATAGTTATGACATAAGCTATTTGATTAATTGTTAGAACAAAGCAGAAAGATTAATTTTATTGTGGATTTGAAAGATACAAAAAATCTGAATTTTATTGATATTTCGATATGATATACTAACCGCTCTTAATAAATTCTTTAAATTAAATTCATTCTAACTTCTGAAGCACAAGTTTCTGAAATTACTTTCACGAGGAACGATTAAAGCTAAATACTATTGGATATAGATAAAAGTAACTGTAATTTATAATTTAACGTGTTTCATGTGACTTTTGATTAAAACATTGATAAAAAATAACACATGTTTCTTGCTACTTTAGTCCAAAGGGCAGTTAATGAACCGTTCGTTCATCTAACAAACTTAAATGAATTTATTTCCGAATTAACAGACAAACGTGTTGTCATATGACCCTCGTTACATCCATCATCTTGCCTGATTGCCATGAATTGTTTGTTATATATTCTTTAGAAAAGAGGATTATATTGCTGAAAAAAAGAATCTACCGCGTAGGAACCATATTCTTTTGTATATGTTAAACAAAATATTATATATACGCAAATACTTTAATCTACATGTTATAGTATATACAATGTACAGTAACTTTACAATATAAGAATTTGCTTTTTGAGCAAATATTCATTGATACTTTGTTACAATTAATAGGTAAGAAGATATCAAGGTGTCAATCAGAAACCATCAGTCGGTGAAAGATGGACGACAATATTGGAAAAATCTCGCGCATACAGAAGTTAAAAGCACTACACATAACATCGAAGGGGTTTTCATTGTTATAGACGAGGAAAACGGATTGTTGATACTACAAACGAAATATGACCGTGGTCTCATAAAAGAACGTCTTCTTATTGTTTCGTTGTACCAACATCGATTTTACCCAAATATGTGCAGCAATATCGTTTGTCATGTTCGAAAACTTTTTAAAGGGTAGAGTATGCGTGGAAATCTTTTTCAACAACCAATTTTTTTATTTCTCTTGAAAAACTCATAATCATATCATCTAGTAATATTTCCTAGAGTTACTTGCATAACTATTGGTTAATATTGTCTAATGAATTTGCAAGGATATCTTGTTCTATTTTCTTTATCAATATTATGTGTCTACTGTATGATACAAAATTCATACTACCTGTAATAAATGTACATTGCGATGTGAACTCCTGCAGATATTGAAACTACAGTTGATAAAATCCCTCCAAATAATCCATAGGATATACATATGCCCCTGTTTTCCATGGAATCTTTATAAGCTTTTGATTTTTCTAGAAAAAAAAACGCAACTGTATATATATATATATATATTAATCGGTTTAACTATACATGTATTTCGGCCTTTTAAGAAGTAAGTAATTAAAATAAACATATAAGCTATAAAATCCAAACGATTGATTTATCAGAAAATATGCAGAACTAATTGTATTGTATCAATAGTGGTTGAACAGGGCAGTGTTGTGGCAAATGTCTATGGCTCGTTCAAATTATAGATGGTGTTACCATATTCATTTGAATAAATTTTTATGAATGTCAAAAGCAAGAGTTGAGGTATGCGTTCAAAATTGATCTGTTATATTCCTAACAGAGTCAATAAATAAAAGATATTGTGTAAACAGTTTCGCATTGTTTCTAGTTGTCAATACTAACCATACAATAAAGCGTTGATCCTTTGATATATTGGTATTTCATTTATCGTAATTATTGTCTCGTTCACATTTCCCGTTTAAATCCTAACAACGTTTTACTGAAAATGTATCAAAAAGGTAAGTAAGTGGTAATGTTTACATTTCATAAGTTGTTTTTTTTCTGAAAAATTGTCGATTTTCTTTTTGAACATTGCTATTCCTTCTTCTTCTGTTGTCTATTCCAGTTTGTTAACCATATCTTTTACGCGTTAATGTTTTGTTGATTGTTATCATTGTTATGGGTGAAAACTTGAAGGATTTTCGATATGCATTGTATTACTTTTGTAAATGTATTTTTGAGTGCAATTATCACACATAAATTATTATTCAAATTCAAACAAAAAGATGAATCTTTGTTTATAAAGCGCATTTGCTTATTCCTATATCATATGGATAAATCAATTCCATAATAAATGATAAAAACTGATCATTTTTTTTAGATAATGAAAGAAATTTAGAAAAAAATCGATATGCTGAAAAAACAGAAAGTAATCATTAAATTTGGTGCTAATATTACCTAAACATATACACTGTGGTATAGAATTCCAGAATCCACTAGAATTACATTGAAGCAGATCAGAACTTTCAACTACATAACCAGTTTCACAAGTGATATTGACTGTTTCGGGATATCGATATTGTTTTGTCTGGTTTGGTTGTAAGGCTTTGTCAATATTAGGCAGATGAGGACATGGAACACCTAATGAAAAGATAAAGATATGTTCTTTTCAACAGCAGAACACAATCAGAAGTATATTTAAAATTTATGTCGTTTTTGATAATTGAAATGTAGGTTGCTGTCTAGATCTCATACATATAGATGTATTATCTCATTTTTTCAACTGGTAGGAAATTCAATACAATCAATTGCTCTTGGTGTTTTCAACTTTGAATTCATGTATTAAAGTCGTTTCCATAATGGACAAAATTAATCGTCATGCTGCACCATCACTGCCTGAGTAATGAAGACCTTATAAATGGAAAGAAATGAAGGGGATATTTTGATGAAACAACAATATAATGACCCAAAAATGTAGAGATGATCAACATATTGTATTCAGCTATAGATCGTTGTTGATAAATGAACAGTAGGAAAGAAGCAAGAAAGAAAGAAAAGTAGTATGGAAAAAAAAGGAAATTTTGAAATAACTATACATCAGAACTGCAAATGTATTACTCTACTTTGAAACCTGTATATTAGATGACATTTATTTAACCTGACCTTAAGTTGCTTCCAGTGTTGTATGCTAACATATATACATACCTGTACAATTTGGTTGTTTATTATTCCATGTTCCATCACTTTGACAGGTAGTCTTAGTATTTTCTGATGTCAACTCATATCCATCATTACATTTGAATGTTACATTGTCTCTGTATGAATATTTTAGTTGAACTGGTTTCCACGTTTGATGAGGCACTTGTCTCAAAGCAAGACAAGTCACAGCTGTCAGTAGAAACATATAACCATGTTAAGTTTTAGTGTCCATACCTTTCTAAGAAACGATTCAATTATTATTGAATCAAAGCGTAGACTGATTAAATACTTTATATCGTGTTCTGTAAATGTAAAGACAAACAAAGAAACATAAGGAAAATCTTTTTCTATAAGTATTTGAAAAAAATTGAAAAGTTGTAGATAATCAGATGTTTGGAATGCACAGTACTTTGTCGGTAATACATGGTTATATCACAACATTACAATAGTGTTATAGACCAATTAAATTAAATTGACACTAAATATTATCAGAATCCCAGAAGCAATTAAATTTCGTCTACTCAATGCAAATCCTGAAAAAGAAAATTAATTCACAATCCTAGATGATAACAACATTATAATTTTTTGTAGATTCTGTACTCTCAGTCATAAACTTCCTATCGAATTTGGGAGGTGGAATATGTTCAAATGGACAATCGATATCGTTACTCTACTGAATACTAGAAACTTCAGTATGTTGTACAATATGTGCAAATTCATCAAATTGATTAACAAACGGCTGGACTCGCAGGGATAACATTAACATCATTTATACTATATTATATGCATACATACATCTTTATCTATATAAGCTGGATATCTTTGTTAACCATTGTAAATCATACATTCGTATTAATGACTATTTATTCATTCGTTTGATGTGTTTGAGCTTTTGATTTTGCCAATTGATTACGGACTTTCCGTTTTGAATTTTCCTCGGAGTTCGGTATTTTTGTTATATTACTTTTTGATACATTATTAATATTTATAAGTCTCAGTACCATGGATTTTGGTTTATGAGAATACAGAAGTATATAGACAAGAAGCTTGATATCAAATTTAAAAACCTTTTTATTGTACATCCTTAGAAAAATGTTCATATAAACATGGTCATTATGTTCAGAATATAACAGTATCCAGTAAATAGGAAAATGATGACAAGCGATGAATATGAACCCACGTTACAAGATATAGGATGCTAACATGAAGCATTTTCATGAATTTATTATTTGTTGTTTCCAAGAAAAATGCGACGGAAATGTATTTGGACGAGCGGACATATGGCCGAACAGACAGGGGTTAAATAGTATACCCTCTTCTTCGCAGCGATGGTATAAAAAGGGGACGTCGATAAAAACTGACCAAACGCTCGACTATATCAATCATAGGAACGACTTAATGACTAACTTATATCAAACTTCTAACAGGCATTTTACAAAGGAACCAAGTTTTTAATTCGAGCGCATGGCGTACCAAATTATAAGGCTTGTATCTTTGATGAATTTTCATAGCTTACTTAACCTACCACTTGTATGACAGTTGCACGTAGTTGAGTTATATTATAACACCAATCAAGTCAGAGTAATAGTATTTACTGAAAGATAGTTCAAAGTCAATTACAACTTATAAACAATTAATGTCTTACTTTAAGACCATCATGTATTATTTGTGAAGTTGATACAGAATAATAATCAACAAGGTCTTGGTATCTTCCGATAAACTGTTTAGAAAAAGGACGAGACGTTCTTTGACATAACCCTGGTTCATCATCTTTCTGCTCAGACACTGGTGACGTTTTATGAAGTCTTGGTAGCAGCTGCAAGCTCTTGAATATCGAATAAGTTGGGAAATGTATATCAAAATAGATGGTTTTTAACGCATGGAGAGCAATATAATTATTTCTTGTTTTCTATAGAGTGTCTATATGTCATTTAGTTGTTCTTTGTTGGCATAGTTGTTTGTTTTTATAGTGATTAAGATTATACAACAATGTTGACTGCTGTACCCCGATTTTTGACATTATTACCTATTGTGTCTGTCTGTTTTGCTCGCACATTGTTGCAAATATAATGGAATTGTATGCGACTGTCGTACAAGTTAGAGGTTTAACAAGCTATAAAACCAGGTCTTATCCACTACTTTCTACATAAGGAAAAGCATGTAACAAGTCAGGAATACGATAGTTGTTTCCCATTAGTTTGATATGTTTGAGCTTTTGATTTTGCCATTTGATAAGAGACTTTCCGTTTTAAATTTACCTTAGAGTTCGGTTTTTTTGTTACTTTACTTTTTTATCAGTCTTTATTAATAATATAAAATACAACTAGATATTATAGTTGAAATTTGCAGATTACACAACTGTAAAAAAATGAATACGTTTGTACTTCAGTATATAGGATGTGTATAATTATGTATTTGTCACAAATTTCAAGAATATTCAAGTGTTTGGAATATTAAGCAATCAAAATTGTGCATAGAAAATGAATTTGTCAATAAAGACAAAGAAAGTTTATTCCTTTAAAAGGACGTTTATAATTAGAGAACAATAATATATGTCTTTCAGTTTGAGGCACGAATGGATGTGACAAATCATTAAATTCGTTCCTTAACTTATAATATATAGAATACATGATATGAAGTATACAATTTATTTATTATATATAATCATCCAACAAACCAGACTAAATGCAACCATTCTTCCCAAATAAGTGTAAAAAAGTGTATTGCTTTGCAAACAGACCGAATGTTGTTGATAGTGGTTTTGTTAGGTTTAATGGTCATAACAGCGTGTGGTAGGTGGAAGTTTTTGATTTTAGATTAAGTGATACAAAGTGGCTGATTTCCTGTTCGATTTCGGGTTTTAATGCCTTATTAAGTATTTGTCCTTTATTGGAAGCTTCCTCGAAATAGGAATATATGACATGACAAATTTTTCGGACTTTAAAATGAAAAATATTTATTGGGCTTCGGTGGCAACGTGATCTGAGTAGTGCATCAGCAAGTAAAATAACAGAAATACCGAACTTCAAGGGAAATTCTAAACAGAAAGTCCTTAACAAAAAGGCAAAATCAAAAGCTCAAACACATCTAACGAATAGAAAACAACTGTCATATTCCTGACTCGGTACAGGCATTTCTTAGTGTAGAAAATTGTTGATTAAACCCGGTTTTATAGCTAGCCAAACCTCTCACACGCATGACAGTCGCATATAATTCCATTATTTTGACAACAATGTGTGAGCATAACAAACAGACATAATAAGAAAAAAAACGTCAAAAATTGAGGTACAGCAGTCAACATTGTAATATAATCTTAATC